TTGTGTAGTAAAAATAAGTACATAACCTTATAGCCAAACGCGTATTAGTTTGTCCAATATCACTGCTGGTTACATTACATTACAAGCCAGACTTGAAATCAGTTGTTGATATTCATTTACGTGACGTAAACATTTGTGCGGCCCATGTTTTGGACGCCAGATGAAATGTCAGCGGTGTAACCACGACCACGAACTAAACATGGAAATGGAGTAAAACACACGTACTAATCACAGACGCACGTGGACAGCCCTGACAAAAAGTTCCTTATCACGAGCGTCCGTGTTTACAAAATCACTGATGATAGCACTGCGTACGGCAGAGCTTGTCCGGTGCACTATAAATCTGTATCACACCCGCTTCGCCGGCAGCGGTTTGAAACTGTAAACAACAGATTTTTAGACTGCGGATTTCAATTAGACATTTCTTAGTAACCAGCAGTGATATTGGACAAACTAATACGCATATGGATGCAAGGTTATGTACTTATTAACTACACAAGGTGCCAATTACAAAAAAAAAGTTAAAACGAAATTTTGTTAATTAAACATAAAAATTCAGTTGTAATTATCTTAACATTAGCATAATGTAGCAGAGGTTTTATCTTATTTTGCTGTACTTATAAGTAAGGTAAGTTTCATACAAATTAATCCAACATCTATTCCTCATAGAAGCTGTCATAGGTACTGAAGCTGTCGATGTCAACGTGGCTAAACATGCTAAAGATCAGCAGAACAGTGTTATATTGAAAAATCTCTGTTTGTCTAGGTATAATTGCCACAGAATTCTGTAGAGCTGGTATCTAAAAACGCATGCTCACTTATAGATATATTTGTTTACAAACGTCCACTTGACAACTTCCAAGACTAAAGTCGTCAGGTCAGTTTAGACAACAATATTACTGTATGTACAACTCCCTTTGACACGGCTAAGTAACCTGCAAGAAATTGTATCTAACTAACGTTTACGATACATTTATACACAATCGCTTTAAAAGCCATGGACTATGAGTATTGAGAGATTACTTACAAGCAGGTGACCTTGAAATATACAGCATGCGCTACATGATTTTGAAACTACTTTACACATACTTTAAATTCCACTCTCACCATTCTTGCAATTTCATCTGAAGAATGGGTCTTACCAAATTGACATACAGAACAGGCTTCTTCCCACATTGGTGAGATGACAAAATTGATCTTTTAACTCTCAAGACTTCAATAATAGTCTAATTTTCCAACTCTGTACAATACTGTAGTGTAAATTCATATTTAACAGAAATTTGTTTTTCCCATTGGTTACTGCAGAGTTAAGATGGTACAAATGCATGATGTATACTATGCTATCATGTATTCATTTAACTGGTGATTTATTACTAGTTTACTATGATTAAATTGATACATTACCAGCTTTCATGCTTCAGACTATGTAAGCTAGTATGCCAATCTTAAATCTGCAAAGATGCACTGCCTGGTGGAGCCTATTAGTTAACACAGAAGCTGGTACATGTATGTAAATGGAGTACTGTGCTAAATTCCTGAAAACGTAGACATGTGTGATGTGTGACACAGCTTGTCAATGTCAGGTAATCTAGGAAGCACCAAACAGTGAGCAGGTCAAGGGAAAGTTTATGGATCATTACTTACTGGGGCTATTTTTTGTATTGATATTCTGTTATAAGAAGATTAACTAACAATAACATAATAGTGCACTTTTTACATTTTATGACTATTCAACATGTTATCGAGAGATCTTGTGAAAAATTGCTGACCAGACACATAAATCACACCACCGAGCTGGATATATCAATAATGTCCACACCAAGACTACAGTATGGTGGTAATCCCACCTTTTATGTACAGGGTGCGAAATTAATGCGAGTCCGGGGTCAAATACTCCCTGATTTACTGTCGGACTCCCTCTTTTTGAGGGTATGGAGTCCGTTGGACTCCCGTGTTCAAAAGTTAATTTCTACCCCTGAATGTATCACGTTGACCAATAAAACCAACACCAAATTGCAATCACAACCACAGCTTTAGCTCTGTGCTGCATAGACCAATGAATTATGCCATGGAAATTTTTACAATCCGACACTATTCTAGGGCCTAATCACTATAAGCTTTCATAAACAAATGTGGCAAAATTTTGTACAGCAACTGTTCCACTATTTTTAACAATGTAACACTGAAATTCTAAGACACATCTCGCTTTATTAATATCTTACCCACATCATTAGACTTGCCATTCATTATCAGCTTCTTGAATACCCTTGATTACGGTACGCTTTATTTTGTAACAAACTAACAATGTTACGATAGCAAATGTTCAAAACTATCACAACTGGAATTGTGAATTAGTAATGTTTGTTGCCTCTCGTGCTTGTGCTGTCATCCTTGGTCATACATTAATTTGTGCTGTGTTTCCAACAACCAATAATATCATTACTTGTCAGTGCGTTGAAAGCAAGATTGCAATTTCTGTTCTGTTATAGTTTTGAACATTTGGTGTGATATTTTTACTAAATTGAAATTGATAAAGGGTATCTAAGAAACTGATAGTGCATATAGCAAAAAATGTGTAGGCATAGATATTGCTTCGAATTTCAATGGTCCACAGTCAGAAACACAGCACAGCAAAATTTGCTGTACAAAAATGTACATTTGCTTGTTATGGAAGCCTACTACTACTAGCCCATAGAATAACGTTAGATTATACAAATTTCTATGGCACAATCTACTAGTACTGCTCTACGTGCTCCCCTGTTCTGTTAAGCAGCATTACACTGTGAGACAACTTCAGTGTCAGCTTACACATAACCAAGACAAGGACAGAATTGCATTGCCCATAATATGACTAATATCAGCGTACACACGTAAAGCAACTTACTGTGTTAGAAATTGCTGTTAAATCGACTATCCATTACCGAGAACCATTCCACGATCAGAACAGCGTTTAGCAACAGGAGATAATAACTGAACACCAAAAGGACACAGCTAATTCAACCAAAAAGTCAACTATTTCAACCTTCACCACTGCTTGGCGACGCGACTGTCCATGAAGAACACTGCTATTACACTGCAAGTACATTTTTTTCTAATTACTAAGTCACGCAGTTTACAAGAAAACTTACTTTACTACGGTTTGAAAGTCTTGACTCTTTGTCAGGGGCACATAAACGCTTGTTTATGGTTTAAAACATCCACAATATTTATTTCTTGTATTCAACAAAATCCAAGATGGCTAGGGTGCGGCGCCCGTGAACTGAGTCCTGCAGACCCGAAGCACGCAGGCGCCCTAGCGGTCTCCATGACGTCAAAGTACCGCTATACTAATTTGCCAACATAATGCGAAGAGAGTACGGCAAGTTGTAGAAGACAAGTGTCCTGGGACGTAATTAGGTTGGGGTTTTAATAGCAAAATGTACGAAGAGCTAACAAATACAAGTTGGGATGGATTCGAAAAGTATCAGTTGACAAATATCTTGCTCTGTTGCAATGTATTTTATTCGATTCATTGTCGAATTTATACCAAATAATTCCTAGAATCTATCATGCTTATCCTATTCTATTTCTGATGAGTAATTCCAAGAATATCGCCAAATGTGCAGTTAAATATATATTGTTCACCACAGTTGTAGGTCAATTACATCTCAGTAAATCACTCCCCCCCCCACGGACATTCGTCCACCTCCTGACAGACTATGCCCCCATGTCATTTACCACCCGTACGCGTACGTACCATTACCCCAGACTGCACTCGGCCAATCACCACCATAGACAAACGCGCCCATGATATTCATGCCCTCCCCGACATTCACCCTCCCGCAATTTTGGTTTGATTTATCTTTGGGAATAATCTGTTAGGTTCCTTGACAAAAACGACATTTTGAAATAAACATGTAACATATACAATTCAATTTTTTCTTATATATATATAACTATATAGAAGTAAAATCACACACGAACACTCATATGTAGATAAAAATATAGTCAAAGAATAGGTTAATTATATTACGGGTGTTAATTAAAATTTAAACACCTGCATGTAACCTATTAATTGACGTTGTTTATATAATTATATATATATATATATAATATATATATATATATATATATATATATACAGGTATAATAGAGAAGATATATATGTACTATGTACTCTCTATTATGTACTGCGTGTTATATATATATATATATATATATATGGTATATATATATATATAATATATATATACTAGGTGGGTGATTATAAACACACATAGTCTAGCACACATATCGTCTTTTTATCTACACGGGTGTTCGTGTGGCACTGTTACTATATACATATATATATATATATATATATATATTCATCGTCAGTTTGGGTGAAAATCTCAGTGTGAACTATGCAGAAACATTAAATTATATCAGATATAGTTATCAACTTATCAGTATAATAATATAACAATTATATCAGAGTGGCAGTGCACTATATCCCACATATTATGCGAAATCTGTGATAGGCCACATATAGGCTATTTAGATCATGCACGCAGCACGAACATCTTCTGTTTGGGTACTGCATGCCATATGCTACCATTTTTACGGGAGAATGAAATCGTGATTTTTTCGAATGATATGAAATTGGAAATGCACCGTTCTACGCATTGTGATTGTATACGCATCTTGCACGCACGCACGACGCACGCACGCACGCACGCACGCACACACACACACACACACACGCGCGCGCGCGCATAATATATATATATATCAGTAATCTCTATTATGTACTCTTACTATAATCAGGAGCGCATAATGACAAATACGCTCATGTTTGTCATTATACGCTCCTGATATAATATACATGTTAACATGTATAATTCGTGTTTATATTACAGACGCGTACTGAACAGCTCGACGGAAATCAGTAACTATTTATTGATTGGATAGCGTTCTCTCGTCATTACGTACAAGCTACTCATAGGTGGCAGTAGAGTACCAATGTGGCAATGTATACAAACATGGCTGGCAATTTGGAGTCAGTTTTGTCAAGTTCTGGTTTTCAACCAGAAAAGTGTAAGTACATTGTTATGATGAGGTTGATTTTGTCAGTGAAACCTAAAAATACCAGGTAGAAGATAGGGTTCGAAGATAGCCTACAACCGCCAATTTATAGTTGTGCCATGGCGTTCGTATGTTCAATAATGTTGATTGTTGTAGGTACAAAAAGTGAAAAACCATGTCCCGTGGCCGTGGGTGGTTAGACTGTACGCGGTCTATAGTAGTACTACTACTAGAGCTAGTGTGTGGTGTGCCACACTTGTACTTCGGCAGGTTGCTACAATGCCCAAGGCTTTATTCCTGCCTATTACACGTGATGCAGTTTTCTTCCCCTAACCGGTTAACCGGGTAACCCTTATCTGGCTCTTTTAATTTTAATTTTATTGTTGGGGGAGCATGTTGTCCTACATTGCTATACTCTCTTTGCTGCCTATGCTGTGGTGACTGGTGATCCAATCCATCACACTTACATCTCAACCGTGTCATATGTCTTTTTAGATGTAAAAGAGATAGCCCAAGGAGGTGATACAGCAGAAGATCTGTTTCATGCCAAGAAGCAAGTACAAATCATTGCAGATGAAACATCGAAATCATTGAAGAATAATGTGTACAGAAACTATACACAGTTTATTGACACAGCAAGAGAGATATCTTGTATCCTTTATGTAGTTTCTGCTGTATATCTGATATAGGAAACTTAATTTGGATAATATTTGAATTTCAGTTGCCCATCCATTCAATATGAAAAGCTCCGGCAGCAGGATTATGAGTTTTGGATGTTAACAAAGTATTAGAAATAACCTAATACCTTTTTTTATGAAAAAATTCTTACTAATAATATCTACTACTTATCTTGCTCCTTTTTAAAGGTCAAACAACTTGTAGCATTAGTGTGTAATGTTGGTTGATTGGGGAATCAATAACCTAACGTATGATATTCAACTTATTTAATGCAAGTACAAAGTATTCGTGCTGTTTTTCTTATGCATACATATTTGAATTACATTTTCACGTGAAAATTCTAACTGCTGTTCGACAGACAGGGCTAGAAAGCTTCTATATTTATCTCTTGACTCCATTGACTAGACCTAGAACAGGAAATGTATCAACTTAGCCATCAGCTTACAGAACAGAAGACTCTTATCTCTACACTATCAGAGATGTCTATTACAAGTGAAAAGGGTAAACAACTACAGTACTTCATATACATATTATCAGGAGTAGATAATAGAGAAGGAGTGTGACATCAATAAACAAGGAAAATTCGTCATTTACTAGCCTTAAAATACCTACGATTTACTACGCGTAACGCAACCAACTTGAGCTCAAATCGTACACAGTACATCCGCCTAGAATCGTGCGAAATCGTTTCCTCGTATACACCCGCAATCCGGAGATACAGACTAAAACGTACGACACGATTTTCAATTCTGTTGCCAGCAAAATCCATGCGTTGAGAAAGCTATTTGAAACAAAAGGCAGCTACTAACACGCTATTGCTAACTCGGCGGGCAATGTGGCTCGCTGGGAGATTTGAATCCGATCTGCTGCTGATAGCGGATTGGCATGCGTGCGTGGTATGGGGGCATGCCAGCTGTATTGCCGGCATGCCGGTATGTAGTTGTGTACCGGGTCAAAGGTTATCTCGTCGAGTGTTGCGTCAATGCCTAATCTCCCAGCAAGCCACATTGCCCGCCGAGTTAGCAATAGCGCGATAGTAGCTGCTTTTTGTTTCAAATAGCTTTCTCAACGCATGGATTTTGCTGGCAACAGAATTGAAAATCGTGTCGTACGTTTTAGTCTGTATCTCTGGATTGCGGGTGTATACGAGGAAACGATTTCGCACGATGCTAGGCGGATGTACTGTGGACGATTTGAGCTCAAGTTGGTTGCGTTACGCGTATCTCGTAAGTATTTCGTAGGTATTTTAAGGCTAGTAAATGACGAATTTCCCTTGTTTATTGATGTCACACTCCTTCCCTATTATCTACTCCTGATATTATACTGCTAGCGAAGTAATATACAATTCTGAACTGTTTAATATAAATATTATATAACATATATATCTACCAAATAAAGGTTTAATTTGTTACATAATAATTCATACTTTTATATATTTATAAATAGTTAAGATTTGCTGAACTCTCACGAGATTTTATTACGTACTTGTTTCCTAGTGGAGTCAAAGAAAGACGAAGCAGAGGAGAGTAAGGAGGAGCAAGAACATAAGACTCCACAACATGGTCTGATGAGAATTCTGGAGAAGGTAGAAGGATGTTCTGTAAGTGTGTGGTATAATCTTTTAAGTTGCATGCATTTCAGGAGTAGATAATAGGGAAGGAGTGTGACTTCAATAAACAAGGGAAACTTGTCATTTACTAGCCTTAGAATGCCTACGATTTACTACGCGTAACTCAAATAACTTGAGCTCAAATAGTACACAGTACATTCGCCTAGCATCGTGCGAAATCGTTTCCTCGTATACACCCGCAATCTGGAGATACAGACTAAAACGTACGACACGATTATCCATTCTGTGGCCATCAATTCGAACGTATTGTCTGCCTAACTTGAAACAAGAGGCAGCTACTAACCACAGCTTGCTCTCTTGGCGAGGAGGTGTACGTGGCTCGCTGGGAGATTGGCACGCTGCCGCTGAGCCACAGCGCTGCTGCTGATTGCGGTGGGGGGCATACCAGCAGCTGTAAATAGGTCAGATTAGTTCGCCGAGTGTTTCGTCGATGTCCAATCTGTTGTCGTACGTTTTAGTCTGTATCTCCGGATTGCGGGTGTATACAAGGAAACGATTTCGCACGATGCTAGGCGAATGTACTGTATATGATTTGAGCTCAAGTTATTTGAGTTACGCATAGTAAATCGTAGGTATTCTAGTAAGGCTAGTAAATGACGAATTTCCCTGTTTATTGAAGTCACACTCCTTCCCTATTATCTACTCCTGATTCATTTGTATGTTATTCGATTTCAAGATAAAAGATGAACATTGAACTTATGTGTAGTAGTTTTTATACTATGCTACTTCGTTTGCTTTTCACCAGAGTTCTCAACCAACATGTGATAAATGGTTTTATATGTATATGTTATATATGTATATTTATGTATAGAATTTGTTTTTTAATCACTTCTGATGGATTGTATGGACTATGGATTCGTTTCCTGTGCTTACATAGATATATGTTGAATGAAATTGCTGGGTCTCTTATGTAAAGAGTTTAAGAGTCTTTATATTTTCAGAGCATAACAGAGGTACCTGGCAGAACACTTGTCCATGAAGGGGATCTTGTTGAATTGGACACAGACTCGTTGGCACCATTGCAGCGGGTACACGCTTTTCTGCTCAATGACTGTCTGATGATAGCAAACTGGATGACAACAAGGTATGTCAAGTTCATACATGAAATGCTGATGATGTATGTAATATATTTATGTGTACGGCGCATGTGTACATGGATGTGTACATGTACGTGGACGTATACGTGTACGTGCACCTGTACATGTACGTGTACATACATGTAATTGTATATATATATGTATGTATATATATATATATATATATATAGTGTTTTCCCTGGTATATGATAAGCAAGGCAGGCTTCCTTGCTGATTTTTTCATCTGCCCCACTTAATATCTTCAGAAATTTCCTGCTCACTGCTAATTCCCGGTTCCACCTCCCAAATCGTCATCTGGCCATGTCCCTAGTTCTACTCCTATGTCCCTTATCTGGCTCCGCATGCCTTGATCTATGAATCCAAACATCAAAGCATACACTGCAGGTGCGACAATGCTTGCTAGGGACCAGGCACAAGCCAGCCAGGTGCTTGCTAGACGCGTTTAATATGAAGACACTCGTGTCAGCGCCTTCAGCACTTACTTTATTCAACGTTTCCACTTCACTCATGTTTTTCTCTAGGGATAACATTATATACTGCATTATATATATATATTAAAATTTAACACCCTATTCTATTTTTCTACATTTATTTTCATATCTACATGGGTGTTTGTGTGTTTTTACTTTTAATTTATATATATATATATATATATATATATATATATATATATATATTTTATATAAATATATATATATATATATATACATATATATATATATATATATATATATATATATATATATATATATATATATATATATATATAATTATTATACGAATATACATATATATATATACATATAGACACACGCACGCAGTGTGCATAATTGCTGGCATAACCAGAGCAGATATATAAGTGGATAGGCACAGTTAATTCTAAAAAATTCTTAATCTGTCCATGCTATATATATTGCTTAGTATGAAAGCGAGTAATTTGTTAGTGATGAATGCCATCTGTCAAAACCTCTAACCAGTGTCCTCATAATTTACGCTGTCTACTTTGCATTTACTCTAAGACTGAGAATCTGTAAAGCAATCTGTCTCCATGTAATACATACATTTTCTTTTCACAGACGTGGCCCGCTAAGATACAAATTCCAGTCTCTGTATGTTCTGGATGAGAGTTTAGCTGTTGTCAATGTCAGAGATGTCGGGTGTAAGTTTACTTACTCTGTCTACATCAACCATCACTGCTGTTTAGATTTATGCAGTCGTGGGTGTGAAAGATGTTGCATAATGCCAAATGATGTCATGTCATGAATGAATTTATATTAGAGATTTGATTTAATACACTTTCTCATACCTCACTTTTATCCTAAAATTTTGTTTTATTTTAGCTGCAAAGAATGCATTTAAGATTCTAAAGTTTCCAAATGCACATTTGTATCAGTGTGACTCACCAAAGGCAAAGGTAGATAGCAAATCTTCAATGTCTAGTTGAGCAATTAGTGTTGTTGTATTGTTTTCAAATAAAACCAAAATTTCCAATAGATAGTCACAAAAGACCTAAACATAAACTTTTGATCATTGCCACAGTGTTGTTTTATAAACAACAACAGTAGCAAAAATAATAATAAAAGGAAGAAAAAATGTTGGTATTTTTTCCATTACAATGCTTTAACATGCATTTCTCATGCAGAAAACCTGGTATGATAAACTGGAGGAGACAAAGAAAGCCAAGTTGCACAAGGCAACTGCACAGAAGAAGGAATTGACACCTGAAGCTGCTAGTCCATTTATGGAGAAGCCTCCCATCAATCGTGAGTGGTTAGAAGCAATTTAATCTGGTAGTAATAAGTTTTGTGCTTTGACAAGCAGATTTATTCTGAAACCAGAAGTTTAGCCAGCCAGCAGAAGTTTAGCCAGCCAGCAGAAGTTTAGCCAGCCAGCAGAAGTTTAGCCAGCCAGCAGAAGTTTCTTGCCAACTACAAAACATGATAAAGTCACAATAGACAAATATTGCTATATTAAATTGCTATGTGCAGTATCTTACTCGTCTTTGTCTTTGTAATGCGTGCACCACAATGAATTGTTTCTGATTATTTTTGAAGAATGTGTCGGAGTTGTGTAAATAAGAATGGTGTATGGTTCATAGCAGGTGTTATCATTATTGGTAACTTTTATTATCAGCTTTTGGGGATGAAGAAGACGAAATATCACAGCCAGTAGATGAAGCACCTGACCTGCTTGAAAGTGATTGGCTGAAGGAGGTTCCTGATGACTTGGATGTGTGTATTGCCCAGAGAGACTTTGATGGTGCTGTTGATCTCATTGACAAAAGTACGTATCTTCTTAGTTTATCATGATTGAAATTGTAATTTTTTACAAACCAAATACACAATTTTGGGTTCAAATGATCATATTGCAATTGTGGGCTTTTATCTTTTTATAACTTACCTGGTGTTATCATGCATTCAGTGCAGTGATGTTAAATAAGTTTTAGTACACTAGTTTCAATTTACTTAGATCTTAAATAAGTAGGATAATCATGAATTGTAAAATAAAGTTTTATTTGATTGTTTTCAGCTAATGAACACCTAGAGAAGTGTCCTAGAACTCCAGCACTAAAAGAATACAGGTTTGTGTAAGAAATGATAAACAATATGTAATATATATATTTATATCTGTATGTGATAATTCAATGGTGTGGTTATTCTTTCATAGAACATGGCTAGCTGGTTGAAATGGCATTCTAGTCAATATGACCCAAGCATGATTTCCAACTGACATAGTTCACTGATCCACATGCAGCATTCTAATGGCGATAGCGAGATTACAGTGGATGGTATTGTTGTTGATATTGCTCAATGGGATTCCTGTGGTCACTATCAGCAACCAATCTGCACCAGTATCTTGTTTGTAGTACAAAGTAACCCTGGAACCAAATGGTGATCTGTTATCTGTATCAATAGATTGCACCGCAATCATGCTCCTGCCAGGCGACATTTTAACAGAGCCCCCCCTCGTAGCATCTGCGTGCCATTGTGACTGCATTACGTTGCAGGTTGAAGTTGGACGTCCGGCTGAAGCAGCTCGGAGAGGTTCTCATACAGGAGCTGCGTGTGTCAGCGGGCACCAAGCTGCAGGGAGGCCCGCGAGCGGCGAGGCGCGCTGTCCGCCATCTTATCAGGCTCGGCAAGTCTGCACAGGTACTCGTACATCACTGTGACCATGCAGGGATATCATTTAGTCAATAGGAGCACGTACTCAAACCTGTGCTGTGGCCATTTAGTGATATTCTTTAGTCTATACGGGCAGGCACTCAGACCAGCAAACTGCATGCAGCGCCCCCCTTCGCACACTCAGGATACCACTGCCACAATGCTAGCACTATTTTTCAAATGGGCGGAGCTCCGGGGAAATCCAGCAAATGGCAATCCAACGGCCGCGAAGTCGCCGCCGAACAAAAGATTAGAAATTTCTATGATATGCATGTTTGGTGGTGGATAAATGTTTTAAGCTGAATACGCAAAAATACATCGAAGACAATGTTCGAGAATTAGGTATATTGGCAAGCATCCGAAAAATTCATGATAAATATTAAATAAACACGTGAACTTAGTTTAGTAAACAGCGTAATGATTTGAAAGTAGTAAATGGGCGCACTATTTCGTATCACTATTTTATCCAATTTCTCATGAAATAATGGTCGGATTTTTAATATCTTTGCAACTTTTATTAGTACAAATCTTATTACATAGGATACGAGTAACCTAGCCGCTGTAAAACTTGTGGTGAAAAAGCATTACAAATTGTAACCGAAAATCTACTTGTGGCAGTGGTAGATTGAGCCAATGAGCGAGAGCGCCATCTGTCGTGGAGTTTGTCAGACCAGTTGTGTTTCTGTGTAGTGATATTGCTTAGTCTATAAGCAGGTTTGGCAGAGGGTAACAATCTTCTTGTGTAATAATGCATGTGGTGCTCTAGCTGGTGCTGCCACCTTGTGATCATATTTGGCAGTAGTGTCACTCTCAGTGCAGATCTAGTGAGGCATCATAGGCTCACAAAATTCTTTTTAATTAATCTTGACAGTGTTAAACTAACTAGTACACCAACATAGATAATAACCAATCCTATTCCGGAAGTAGAACGATGATCTATTCATGTTTGGGATTGTTTAGAACATCACAACAATTAATTGCTTTCTACTTGCTGTTTGTACACATGGCGCTAGCTCTTTAAATGAAGTTCAGCATCTTCCTAGCAATCAAGAACCTTTTAGATATTTGGAGTCATCATCTAAGTGTTAGATTTTCATACAAGTATATACGTTATTTGCCTGATGTCTTCAGGAATGACCTCTTTGTTAAGACCAGGTTTTTTGTGGCAGGCATCCAACCTTTTTCTGAAGCAGAGAAGTAGCATCCTAAGACACAGCATGCAAGGGATGAAGTTTGACCAGGGTGCAGCCGTGGCTTTTATCAAGAGATTGTGCAACATATTCTTCAACAATGTCCAGTCCACCATTACCGATTTCACGAAGGCATTTGCTAGATCTACTGGGTGCTATTCAGGTACTGGGCTAACGTAGGTGCACTAAACTTCTAGACGAAGCTTCAAATCTAAATGTAGGTGCTTATATTTATACTTCATGTCAAAATGTCATGTCTCACGAAACAGTTTGTTCATGAAATAAGCATTTAAAGTTTACGGAGTAGTATTGGCAATGCGCATGTCATAAAGATAAACAGTTCTTTGATGCCGGTAACAGTCACTATGTTATTGTGGATTTTAGTTGAGGTTTTATAAATTTCTTTGTTATTATAACTTTATTGATTGCTATGGTTTCTATTTTGAGCAAGGCACGACAGGTGGTGAGTTTATCCTCACTTCCCAGTATTTGCTGTTATCTTCCAGCCCTTACGGTGTGGTGCATCTCCGAGTTTGACTACTTTATGGTGACGTTTAACAAGGAAACTTTCACGGGGGAGAACACAATGTCTGCCATGGCTGAATGCATCGATGTTACACACAAGCATTGTGTAGAGGTACTAGTTACATATTGTTTAGTACCGTTACATGCATGAATTATAGCAATAATATTCCTGGCGTAACATGAGACTGCAGCATTTTATTGTTATAAAGCTAGTATATATAATTTATATATTTTTTACATGTCTCTGTATGTTAATTGGAGGTCTATTGTAAAATGCCTTCCTTCACATATAGATGGTAGATGGTACCAACTCATAGAAGTTCAAAATATATGCTGGCATACCAGCTAAATTGCATAGCCTGATGGAGGGAATTACTATATAGGTAATTATTGTATCCCCCGAACGAAGTTCGTGGGGATACTATGGGTTTGGCATCGTCGCGCCGCCGCTGCCGCAGAGATTTCCTTGTGAACGCTCTACCGGCTGCAGTTCTTCTCGAATCATCTTCATCTTCAAAGCGAAGACGCCAATCGTTTTTGGTGTGGGCGGAGTCATCGTTGCCATGGTAACAACATTTTTTGTCGAAATATTCTAGAACCTGTAACTTCTGCACTTTTTACCCGATTTTCATGAAATTTATATTTGTATTAAAATTTATATTTAAATTTATATTAAAATTTAAATTTAAAAATTTAAAAATAAAATTTAAATTTAAAAATAAAAATATAAATTTAATATTTGTATTAAAATTTGTATTTAAATTTATATTTAAATTTATGATTGTCATCAAATATATATATATATACATATATATATATAGGACATGTTATATCGGCCCTGTGTGCCAAATTCCATGACAATCGGGTAAAAACAGCACAAGTTACAGGTTCTACAATATTTCCACAAAAATGTTGTTACCATGGCAACGATGACTCCTCCCACACCAAAAACGATTGGCGTCTTCGCTTTACCATAACGCACCTTCATGCCAAATTTGAAGATCATCTGAGATCGGGTAAAAACTGCCCACCAGGTCACTGCGACCTTTATTTCACCTTTACCTTGACCTTGATCATATTTCCCTTCCGCTCTCTAACTCAGCCCCTAATTGACCTAGCACGACCAAACTTGGTATGCTTACACATCTTGGGGAGAAGGTCTGTCGCTTACCAAAACCACCACTGCCCTTGACCTTAGTTTGACCTTCACCGTCGACTTACATTTCCTCTTCGGCCTCCTAGGGTAACCAGATTCCATATACTTGCACATCTGAGGCACACCAGTTGTCTAACAAGCCTTTGTCTTTGTGACTTATTTAACTTTACCTCCCTTCTACGTCCTTACAGAGATATTCCATTCATACTAGATCACGGGGGATACATGTAGTTGGCGACAACTGCTCGTTTCTAGTTGAAATATTTACTGCAGACCAGTAACAACAAAATTAGAGCAGAAGGGGAGAAATGCTAGATGAGCATGTTTTAATTTGCACTTGTGGCAGGTGCTTTTCTCTCCCTCCTAAAGGGAGGAAGAGGATATGAGGCGCAGAAGGACTAGAGTTGTGTAGTTGTCCCCACCCTCTTTACTAGCCATACTTGGTAGAGGAAAACTAGAACTTGGTTGTTTTTTTACACTTTTAACCTTGCACCGAATGTGTGTGACTGAACATTTCAGCTGCAGGATCAAGGGGTGGACCTCACGTATGGTTTCTACTCACTCATCACGGATCATGAGAATGGCGTTCTGCTGCGGAGCAAGGAGAAGCTGATGGAGGCTAACAAACGCAGTGCCGTGGTAAGAACGGATCTCTGTCATTGTAGATTGTGCATTGGTCAGCGCACAGCCTGCATGTTCTAATGGGCTCCATGCAGGCTTGATATTTTATAGTTATAATTTCTTTCACGTGTCTGAGCTTGAACAACCTTTATCAGAGTTTAATTTTATTTATGATACATTATTAATGCACACATACGCACATGGACACACACAGACACATTCCCTTACGCATGCACACACTGGCAACAAGTGCACGTATGCACATGCAGGAATGCACCACGCATGCACAGACATACTACCTGGAATATACACCTACATATACACATGCATACATATATATATATGCATATATATATATATTATATATATACATTATACATATACATATACCTGGTATATATATCTACCTCAGGAGGACACATGGAAACCGATGGACCTTCAAGACAAACCTAGTCTCGACAAGTTTCTAACTGAAATGAGCAACATTGGTGTTGCAAGCATACACGCATTCGTTTATGGTAAGCAGACATAGTCAGTGTTGCAGGTGACGACTGTTTTACGGGGTTGATTAAATATTCGAGGTGACTAATATTTGAAAATATAAAATAAAAATATCACACCAATGGCAGATCTTATTTTAAGTGGGGTACTTCAGGCACAGATGCCTCCTTTTACTCAAAATATCACCAAATTTGTGAAAATTTTGGAATGTCTCCCTGATGCCACTATGCTAGTGTATCTGTGGCTTGCATCAAACAGTATGAGCAAGCCTAATAACAGTCTCGCTCAGGTCGAATCTTATATCTCTCTCCCCCTGCACATCATAAAATTTTGAATGCTGCGTGTTGCAGACGACGTGTGTATTTCGCTGACGAAGAACACGGTGCAGTTCAGTAAGAGCTACCTCGTCTACATGGACGACGTACTGAAGATGTACCAGCGCATGAACCACGCCGCCGTTGTGCGCTGTCTCACTGACCTGCTCAAGGCCCAGCTGCTCTACATAGAAGCCTCGCTCAAGTCCGAGAAATACGCAAAGGAGGTGAGGTGTACTCGAGTGTTTCTGACGACAGGGGCACGCCTCAAGTATAGTCATAGGTGACTCTCTATTTTGACGGTATGATTGCGAAGAAATGACACGTTATGCAATTAGACTGACGGTGGAGGTTTGACGTTTCGATAACTTTGCAAATGTTATCTGGGCGAAAAATAAAAAGGTTTTCTTTCCAATCCGTTTCATAATTGATATTTGCTGCTATTGCCAGTCAGCGGGGACCACGTAGTCTGAATGTATCTGTTCATCTTGCTTGCAGCACAAGTTCATTCTGAAGAACGCTCACTTCCTGCTGGAGACAGTGCTGACGCTGGCCGAGCGCAGGTTCGAGCAGAGTGTCGGCCATCCCTGCGACAAGCTAGCACACATGCACCGCGAGATGAGCCGGCTCAAGGGTGTCGCCAAGCACACCACTGTCGCCTACGTGTGATGCACCCCACACACCCACCCCGCCCATGTGCAGTGCAGCAGCGTGGCCTTGCACAGACGGGTACGAGATGACCTGGGGGTGGTGGTGGGGCTTACATGGGTAGAACATGGAAGGAGTGTTAGGCTGGGGTTCACATTGAGTGTGGCACTCATACAGAATGTGGCATGGGTGCACTCATACAGAATGTGGCGTGGGTGGCACTCATACAGAACGTGGCGTGGGTGGGCATTGTACAGAACGTGGTATGTACAGAATGTAGCGTGGGTGGGCCTCATACAGAATGTGGCATGGGTGGCCCTAATACAGAATGTGGCATGTGTGGGCCTAATACAGAACGTGGCTTGGTGGCGTGGGTGGGCCTAATACTGAACCTGGCTTGGGTGGGCCTTGGACAGAACATGGCATGGGTGGGCTTTGTACAAAGTATAGCATGGGTGGGCCTAATACAGAACGTGGCTTGGGTGGGCCTTGTGCCTTGTACAGAACGTAGCATGGGTGGGCCTTGTACAGAATGTGGCATGGGTGGTGGGCTTTGTACAAAGTGTAGCATGGGTGGGCCTAATACAGAACGTGGCTTGGGTGGGCCTTGTACAGAACGTAGCATGGGTGGGCCTTGTACAGAACGTGGCATGGGTGGGCCTTGTGTAGAACGTAGCATGGGTGTCAGGGTGGGGCTCATTTAAGGCAAGGAACCTGGCCTGGTTGGGATAGTGGGGCTCACACACAAGAAGTATGTGGGATGGGTGTTGGGGTGGGGCTCACACAAGGAAAGAACATAACGTGTGTGTAAGGGTGGGGCTCACACAAGGAAAGAACATAACGTGTGTGTAAGGGTGGGGCTCACACAAGGAAAGAACATAACGTGTGTGTAAGGGTGGGGTTCACACAAGGAAAGAACATAACATGTGTGTAAGGGTGGGGCTTACACAAGGAAAGAACAAACGTGTGTGTAAGGTGGGGTTCACACAAGGAAAGAGCTATGTGTGTAAGGGTGGGGCTTACACAAGGAAAGAACATAACGTGTGTGTAAGTGTGGGGTTCACACAAGGAAAGAACGTGTGTGTAGGGTGGGGTTCACACAAGGAAAGAACATAACGTGTGTGTAAGGGTGGGGCTCACACAAGGAAAGAACATAACGTGTGTGTAAGGGTGGGGCTCACACATTTGATAACCCTCAGGCAGGCAACTCCTGGTGAGCTACAAGTTTCCAAGATATGAATCATGCTAGTAGTTGGAACAGCTTATAATGTGTACTGTGATATAAATATGTACTGTCTACTCATAAATGTACTACTTAATATAATAATATCATGCGTGAAAACATGGCAATAAATACGTTGCCATGACTACTTTATAAATTTGAAAACAAGAATGTAAATGATAGTACTTTTAGATACTTAAAAGTAGTACTTAGTACTTTAAAATGTACTGTTATGTGGCATTAAACTTGATTATTACGAAACAATCATGAGGAAATAAACTTCAAAGTTTCAGTTACTCTAATTTTATTTTGTTTTATACACAAGTATAATAAGCAACTCGTCAGGGCTGACAGATAATATTATATTAAAATATTACATACATCTGAGTACCATTTACAAAAATGCCAACATATTTGCATATTGGGTGATAAATTGTATTACTGGTTAAAACTATCATGACTATCTTGCCAACAAATTAAGTAAATTAATTTACCGATATAGTGAACAATAAATGAAAATACATGTTTTGTTACAGTTTTGTAACTGAATCAGTATAATGCCTTACTGACTGTAAGTGTGAGATGATAGGACATGTATGACATCCTTTTAAACTTTTAAAAGGATTTATTAAGCTTTAAACTTTTAAAACTTATCCTTTTAAACTTCAGCTATTACAATAAGTCTGCCAACCCTTCCGAGAACCATACGTAACAGGCCAATGCTTATTAAGAAAATTTAAAACATTCCTCTTTCCTGTACACTGTGCACCTTTATTTCTCACGATTGTAAATACGTTGAAGAAGGTTCCAGAACATTTCTGCTCACTTTTTGGTGCCAAACTTCTTTGGCTTTGCACCTGCTTTTCCTTTAAACCGCCCTCCTTTCTTAAACACTTTAGCTTTCCGGCTGTCCTGTACAGAGCCAGGTCTCGTTGCTCCAGCCTGTGCAGTAGTTACTTTCTTTTTGCCTTTCGTTTTGGCTCCAGTCTGAGCAGTAGCCAATCTTTTCTTCTCTTTCGTTTTCTTCTCCCCTGTTTTCAGTTTACTTTTTACTGTACTCTGCCCTCCTGCTGGCGTTGACTCTGCGTCGTCTCCACTGCTGCTCTCTACTTCCTCAGCGATCACCTCCGTGGCATCCTCTTGCTCATCCTCATCATTGGCTAAAACGTAGACAACAATCACTAGCAAACGGCACTTCTGAAAAACATCTCTTTGGCTTGGTAATGCCACACCCAAATTCCCACACAATACACAGTACACAAGTCTCTAGTCGGTCTCAAGAATGAATAAGAGCTCGTGGTCAAGTTTATTGCCTCCATGAAAGGGCGAGCATTTACATTTTATGCAGCATTGTAGATATTTCATGCCTCCGGCTATATCTCTATCTGTCTATACCACATATATTGGATACATACATCAAAACTGCTGGACCCCAGTGAAAAGCTGTCAAAAACGTTTGTATACACACTACCATTCCTTGATTACCTCATATAAATGTCCCCAAAACACCATAAACAAGCTTTGTAAATTGATGAATATAGTTTGCAAATTTTAAACAAGCCACCCTGAACGTTTGTTCATAAATTACTTGAGTGAGTGCAGGCGGCACAGCAACAGCACCTAGTCTAGTCTAGTATACGGTATAGTAGTTTTGTACAAAAACGAAATAAACCATTTTTAAAAACCTCACAAGTCACAACCTAGCATTAAGATAATAATAACTTCTTAGTAACTTTCTATGATTAATCGATAGTATAATTATAAGAATTTTGGCGTATTTACGTACTATATTGCATGTCTTAACGACACACAGAACCGCTGTATTAATATTACATCGCACAAAAGCGTGGTACGCTTTTGTCCATGTAAACATCGGAACACAAAAATTGAACAAGGCAGATTTTGTGTCGAGTCTATCTGATCAAAATATGTTTATGTGCAAAATACTTGCATAGATGTTGTAGAACGTAGAACACTACTTTTATTAGACACAATGGATTTCTGGGGATAGCCCTGCCTTTTTAAGTCATTGTATTATTATTGCCATTTTTAGATAACTAATTTACGGTTATGGAACGTGACGAACCTTTAGGTTTAGGGTTGGTATTGGTGATCTTCTTAAACTTGGCCACATAGAAGCCATCAAGGTTATGTGTGTGTGGGTAGAATCGTCGTGTCAGCTTCAGGCTCGGATGGAAACGATGTTCACGGTACCTGGAAAGATGTTTGCCTGAGTTAATGTCATCATTGCCAAACTGTGACACGCACACAGTCAGGACTGCTAATAAAATATGGTAAATCAGTACTGGGGTTATGCACGATTGATTTTTGACTTGTTGCACAATTGTGGCAAGACCTGGTTCTTATTATGTAGAGAAAGGCATAAGATTGTGCATTCACCTTGAAATCTAATAATTTCAATGACTACTACCACAGTTATTGTCTGTTAGAACAGAGGACTATGAAACTGATGCCATAAATGCTTCTTACCTTGCAAACCCTGTCTGCCCAAAGTCTAGACCAGTTGGTACCAGTTTCACATTTCGTTTCTTTAGCGCATAATCAATCACCCATTCATTTTCCTCTACCTGCAAAAGACATATACATGTGCACTCATGCACGCATGCAAGCACGCACGCACGCACGCACGCACGCACGCACGCACGCACGCACGCACACACGAGTATGCATATGAAAAAATTATAAACTTGTCACCTTGACGGACTTGCGGCCCCGGTTTTTGCGCGCAGCGCACAGCCGCGCCCCAACGCGAATACGCCGCCCCCTTTTTGTCCCCTTAGACAGATATCTGAGACAGGGGTCTGAAAACGCACTCCACGAAAACTGGGCGCAATCCAACCGACATTTCGGGATGGACGGCTTGAGGCCATCTCCAAACGGCCCCTAAACTTTTTTTGGGGTGGCGCGCCTCATGGCTAAGACGTAGTGGCTCCTACAAGAAACTCCAACAAATGCTGTCAATCAGCAATGACGCGCTCGCTCATTGGCCGCTACGCGATGACGTGCGCTTCTGCCGAGTATAGCGTTACGTCTATCACAGAGGTTTTAACGAAGACGTGTACGGCGCTCCACGTGGGCTGGCACGGTCTAGATGCTATCTATCTCCAAAAGCGCCTGGCTCCGTACGTGCGAGGTTTTTATCAACCTCTTGACCCCGCTGGCCGTGGCGACGGCACGTCGTGCGAGCACGTGCTGGCGTGGCCGTGGGAGTTTTTACACGTAGCTAATCCTACACTACGCCGCCACACTGACACACAAATATATATATGCACATGTTTTTACGAAGACGGCGGAGCGCGACATTCCAGCCTCCCTCCTCCCCCGCGCTCACGTGGCGGCCGGGCACGGTCGAAATGCTATATCCAACAAACCTGGCTCGGGGAGTTTTTGCGCCGCGGTGACTTTCGTAGTAAATAGTAAATAGATTTTGTATTTATTTA